TCAAAAAGCAAAGTCAGCACACTCAACCGCACACAAGAAGGCAACAGCAAAGCGACGAGAGACAGCAGCTAAGAAAAAGAAACAAAAGGCTGCAAAACCTGTGGAGAAGGAGGAGCAGGACTTGCTAGAGTCAGAACCAGAGTTAAACACAACTGATGACAGTGATGACAATGATTATATTCAAGGATTTACACTCTTATGGTCAAATAAATGTTGTTTTTTTTCATGGCTTAAAGATTTCGCAACCCTTCTAGCAGTAATGGTTGGCTCACAATTAAAAGTTCCATAGATAGATACTTTTCTTTTCAAAGCTATAAGCATTGTGTTATGATATCATTATAACTTTTGCATCCTATACTATTTCAATCAATTAGTCCTGTCACAGTCACATTAACTTTTTTTGGCGGAAAACTTTCTGCCTGTCACAGGTTACAGCAAAGTTCCTTGGTCCCAAACCTTCCCAAAAAAGTAATTTCTGAAAAATTTGCGCCCCTATAGCGCACAGAACTTCCATATAAGGCAGGAGGTCACACCAAATTCAGCCCTTGGCTGAATTGGACATTTCTGCCACACAGGTCACAGGCCTGCAGAATTGAATGAAATAGTATAGTAATCTCAAGCCCAACATTACAAAAATGTTTGTTTTAACTTCAGACTGAAAGTATTGCATACCTCAGACTGACATTAGCCAGGAAATATCAGTCAGCTCTCCATGTAAAGTCAGGATGATTTTCTATGCTAATCTCACACTGATCTAATTGGGTTACATCAGATTGATATAACCTGGTGTTGAGGGTGTAGGTACTATCCACCATAATATGGCATATTCTTTACATTATTTTAATCAATAATTACTTATTACTGTTAGCTATGATTATAGCGTAATCACCTATTTTAATCAATCCAATAGTCACATGTCACACACCATGTCTTGACAAAACCTTCTGTAGGTCATCGGCTGAGGGAGAGGCTTGACTCCTGTCATGGATAAGACCCGGCCCGTCCACTCCGGCGCTGGTGTCGGGCCATCGCGGGCCCAAAGCACGCAGCACGTGACGACGGGGAACATGCGCCCCAGTAGGAGGAACGCACACGTGGGAAGCACGTGACCGAGAACGACGCGCCGAGCCGTCGCCGAGCCCAACTCGACACAAGGGGACTGGGGAGGAGTGCTAGGAGGTTAGGAGTAGCGCCTGGCCCGCAAGGGATGTACGATCGTCCCCTCTGCGGCCAGGAACGGGAGCGAGGAGGAGGAGTAGAGGCCAGGGTGTCCGATCACCCCCTTTGCGGGCCCGCATATATAAGGCGCGATAGTGTACCCTGTACTCTATCGCTTAGATCGTCTGAAGAACTACCTTACTCCGTGCAAGGAGACGTTGTCGACTCATCGGGCCCGACACAACCCGATTCGAACCTTCGACCACCGACAGCGACAAGGGACCGAGTTCACGGGCCCTTTCGGTTTCGATCTACCCCGCCCGCCGTACTTGCGGGCCCGACTATTCGTCTGTTCTGTTCCGGGCGCACGTTCTTAGGAGAAGTCCTTGCACGGCCCGACCCGCAGTCTGACAACTCCAATTATCTCTTTTTTTCTTTTTTGATTTTTTGGTCCCTAATAGGAAGGCCAACTAAATTGCCAATTGTGTTAGGCATTTTACAGTTGTCAGGCTATGTTGAATGGATTGAAATATGTCAGTAATCTAAAAATAGATTACTACTGCCATCACCAACTTGAGTGGAAAGGACAATCTGAAATTGTACAGTACTCATATATATTGGTCTCTTCCTCACAACTTGAAAACTAGGTACAGAACTCTGTCTTAATCTAAATTGGAAGATGCTGTATAGTATCCAGTATCTATATCTGAGCCAGTATAATCAGATGAAGAACTGTCACTGATCCTAGACTCAGTATCAAAATCCTGTTGTGCTGAGGGTCCAACTGCAGTATCTGATAAGGTAAACTTGGGCTGTGTTGCTCCTGAACTTAGTAGAAGCTTAATAATCCTCCTGTTTCCTCCAAAGTAGGCAGCCTGAATAGCAGTCCCATAGATTCCACCAACCACATTGGATTTAGCTCCAGCATGGATCAGAAAGTCCACAGTTTCTTCTTCTCCATTTGCAGATGGGAAGCAAAGAACATTCCCATAGCTCTGATCTACTGTGTTTATATCTATACCTGCCTGCAGCAGATATTTAACAATATCAAGATGTCCATGAGCAGCTGCAGCATGCAGGGCAGCCTTATTGTAAGCTAGTTTTAAATTGGGTTTTCTATTAAGAATAAGCCTGATACATTCTGTTGAACCCCATGCAGCACTAGCAAGCAGAGCTGTCCTATAGTATCCACTAACTAAATTAACTGCAGCTCCAGAGTTTAAAAGCAGTCTAACTATCTCTGTATGACCCTTGAGAGAAGCTGCCTGGAGTGCCGTCCCATAAGTACCACAAGCTTTGTTAACATCTGCACCAGCATCTAGCAGGAGCTGAACCACCTGAGCATGTCCCTTCAAGCATGCATCTTGAAGAATTGTTGAATTACAAACTTCAGAGTTTATATCAGCACCTGCAGCAAGTAATACCTGCACAATTTTGGAATGCCCTTGAGAAGCAGCAGCCTGCAAAGCATTGTCATAGTGCTCATCATGCAGGTTATCATGGACAATTTGAGTGTTTGCATCTGCTTGATTATTCAATAACAGCTGTATTATGCTAGAATATCCTAGAGCAGACACTTGGATTAATTCTGATGTAAGATCATATCTATTTTGTGACAAAATATATTTTGTTAGGTGCAGCAAATTCCCTGTGGCTGCAATCCACAAAGGGGTTACATCTGATGGCCAAGGATATATATTCCATGGTGAAATGTGCCAGCTCTTTGGAAGTATTAGAAAATGTTGTAAACATTCTAGAAGCCTTTCTTGGAGCTGTTGTTCAGGCTCTCCAGCAGCATGCTGGAGAAAATATTGGCAATAGTCTAAAAGTGGTGCAGAGACTCTATTCCAGCTGAAGAAATAGGACCATCTTCTTGAATTCTCAACATATACAAGTTGTAGATATTTCAGCAATGTTGAGGTTATATCCATCTGAATCTGCAACAGCTGTTTAGAGTGCAATTTTTCAAGAAATTCTTGAGTAGTATAATGAACAAGTCGTAGCACTTGGTTATGACTATTCATGACCACAAGACCATAACAGGTCTCAATAATATCATTGATAGGAATCAAAGATCTGGAAGTTGGCAAAGATCTCCCATCCTTGAGTATTGCTAGAACGGTTTGCAGTTCAATGGCATTCATTGGCCGCTTGGCACATGATATCCAGATAAGGCTTAATAATGCTATTTCTCGTTGCCTAGGACTTTGCATGTTAATAAAATCCATAGTACGCTCATAACTTGCTGGTAGAGTTTCAGGTAATGTTTCAAGTGCATAGTCAAGCTCTGCTAAGGTAAATGCTGAATTCAGAGATTCAAGATGAAGTTTAACTGCTAAAAACCTATGCAAGAAGTTAGTGAATAATCTAAACCCTTGAATCTTCAGAAACTTACATGCCATGTGCTTTTGATAGTAATTTATGTGTGATGCTTTGTTGAAGATGGTGGTCCTCTTGAATCCATTGATGAAGTCTCTTTTGCTTGTGAACCTGAGCTAGGATATAACTTTCCAAGTCATCCCTATGGGCATGGACTTCCATGTCAATTATTTGAGGAGACAAGTCAAGGGGCAGTGGAATATGAGATCTGCAGGTAACCATGATATTGACATTTTGGCCAAGATCCATAAGATGGCCAAGAAACAAATCTCTATCTTCACTGTATTCATCCAAAGCATCAATGATAATGTAGACTCTGCTGAGCTGGGAAATGATAGCTGCAACCAGATTTTGAATTTCTTGCACTGTTGCTAAAGTATCCCTTTGAGTGTGATACTGATATAAATATTTGGCAGCTGCCAAATCTTGAGACACAATATTATTAACATCTTCAGAGTTGGAATTATCCTGAGCAATGATCAATTGTCTCCAAAGGGCACCTAGTATGTGTTTTGTGGTTTGAATTGTAGCTTCCTTGTAGTTGAGATAAGCACATGCCACTCCAATTGTTTCATCTTGAGCTTGCTCCTCTGTAAAGAGGTTTACAACCTTGGAGCTACCAGCATATGAGCCAAAGCACATCAGATTCTTAACTGAAAATTACACCAGAACAGTTTTGCCAACACCAGCTTAGATATTTTGATTTGAGACCTGCAAAGCAATACTTAGATATATTGACTCACGACTGCCGGTGCACCACAAAATTTTGCCAGACCCGGACTTCCAGGTTTGAAACTTGGCATCCTTGATGAACCAAATTCCTGTATCTTTTTGTCTGGTTTCATTGATTTCCTGTTGCCTGATAAATAAATTTATAGGTGAAATCCAATTTAGAATCTTGATCCTGTCCTCATCTGGTCATGGCTTAGTTATGACTGTGTGACTCAGCATGTACTGCGACTGACTTGGGTTTCCTTGATTGACATACATACTGGCAGATATTAGCCGCAAGGTCCGCAGAAAGATTACTGACTTACGCTGATATTCGATTATTCTGCATTTCAAGTCGTGCACCCTTTCCCGCCATTGCCGCCTGGATTAATTATCTCGCTGTTCCTTACGCCGGACATTATAAGTACATACCGAAGAGATGTAATTGCATCGATGATTGTGGTAGATGGTCAAGAAGCACTGAGCGTGACATGATCATGTGCCAAATTTCTCATCATCATCCCGCAGTCATGCATTCAGCACTCGAAAGGAACACTTGTCTGCAAGACCGATCTGCTCACTGTCATTCCAAAAGTTGACTACTAAGCGGCGCAAACAAATCTGTCAAAGCTAACATGAAGTAAAGTCACTGTGGATATATTTTGAAATTCCGGAAGCTAAATTATGACGGAAAGAAATATTCATATATGTTCTAAATATTGCAGCGCACTAGCCTCCGAGTCATATCGCTGTCACACGGGGCTGAAGATAAACGCGGGGTTATCGGGCTGCAAGAAGCGCCACACCGTCCGCTCCTTCAGTCCACCCTTCTTCCACCCATTCAGCGTCTGCGGAAACACCGGCATCGCGCCGAGGAGACTGACGTCGTGCGCAATGACAACAAAGACATCGGGATCGGCGTCGAACAGGGCAACCTTGTCCAGGCTGACCACGGCGGTCGGCTGGTCCGCGTACAGCCCGCCCGGTACGTCGGCGAGGTCAAGCATCTGCTCACTCCGCGTCAGCAGGTCAAATTGGCCCAACTTCGACCCAGAGGACCAGAAGAAGTCAGTCGACACGTGCGCACGTGCGTCTGCAAGAACATGGGCAGGGCACGGGAAGTGTTTCTGGAGTAGCGGGCGTGGGCGCACTGCACCAATCTGGTGCGCAGTGTCCCCGGCTAACAGTACGAAGGACGGTGGAGAGGTGGAGACCCGGGCGAGCCCAGTCATGTGCCCTGCGATATGTCCAGGTGTATCCAGAAGGTAGAATGAGCCGTCATTGAAGTAGTCGACGGCGCGCAGGTTGTTGATTAGGAGCTTGGAGGTGGTGAAGTCGACTTTGGAGAGAGTATGGCCGCTAAAAGAACGGACCTGATCAGCGGTTGACGTAAAAGAAAACAGAGTCGCACGCAAAATCGCTCGGTTGAAGCTGGGACGCAGGGTTTGCGGGATATGGCGTTGTATTCGTGGCAGCGCCTATGACGAGCCCAGTTGAGTTGGGAAACTTGCTCATGTCGCCCTGAACACTTGCTCAGCCCAGAGACAGAAGAGGAAGGCGCTGGAACTCACGATGTGGTCCAGATGCGCATGACTCCAGAACACCTGCTCGATACTCTCCAACTTCACTCCACCCGCGACCAGTAGCTCCGTAATATCCTTAGGCTCGTCGAGCGCGCCAGGGAACGCCTTGAACAGCTCTGCGACAGGCGGCACCGCGTTCTCGGGGTCCTTTCTAATGCCCAAATCCCACACATACTGATACGTTTTGGCGGACGGGCCTGTGCCGATAGTGCGCTCGAGGAGGAAACCAAACATCGGCACCGTCGTCGTCTCGCGGCCAGGCAGGACTGGGTGCACCACCGTTGCAGTGCCCCCAATCGTAAGGTTGCCGATGTTAAATGCTTTGACCGAGAGTGTTGCGCCGGTCCGTGAGGTGGGGATGCCGAGCGATTGCCAACTTGCCAGTGAGGCACCGGCGAAAAGTAGTGGAAGAAGGAGAGTGCGTGACATGGGCAATTGGGGGATGGCTCTCCTCAATGACTAGTCCCAGCGTCATTTATACTTGCTCGCAGTCGTAGCGTAACTACTAGCGTCGCGAGGCAGTTGCGCGGCAAAGGGGACCAACGGATCTTCTGTCACGCAGCAATGAGCGATCCGCCAAGTCAACGGACATAGTGTAGCAGACCCTGAGAATCGTGAAGCGCATATGCGGCTATCCAGATACGCAATTAACCAGCGAGTGCCAAGCGCCGCTCGCTGGATTAATTCGGCGCGGAGTCGCCGCGGACGTCGCATGCCGAATCTGGAATAGCCGTGTTTTCCAAATTAGGATTTGCCGCATTCCACGGCTGCAGGCAACGCACTGAGTGACTGACGCATTACACAATGCAGCGTTGTGCTAGCAGCGGCTAGCTGGCACGGGCGCTTTGGGCTCTGCCCAAGTGGATCACTATATGATTCTTTAGCTGGGATTTCGCCGATTGCAACAGCTCACATGGTTGTTCGATAAGTCTCGGAAGCCTGTGAACGCTGAGACCAGTCGTTGTACCGCCTAACATCCGGTGAGATGAGCGTTTGTTGACGCCACGTCACGTCATACGCACGTGAAACATGGCGGTGGCAATGCGTACTCAGTGTCAGTCGTGTCGTCGGTTCGACTCGCAGATGAGGCAAAGTTGTTAAAATATACATTTTTTATATACAGAAACCCCGGTGTGTGTTATACAGACTGAAATTCAATCAGAAATATCATACAAATATTCTACTGACAATGTGCTGAATATCATTCTCATATCTCAGTTTGATTTATGTCAGGGTTGCTTTCTTGACTCGGATATCGTAGTGTTTGGCAGAGGCCTACTAATGTTGATGAGTCTGCCCAGCTAGCTACGACTCTGTCAAGTATCATACGTGTGAAACCGGTGGCCAAACGACTGATTTGTCTAGATAAACAGAATTGTTAAGATTTACAAACACAAAAGCAACTAGTAGTAACGAATGCAGCAACAGACAGAGAGATCCGGGCCAAAAATACAGTAAGTAGTGAGAGTTCACGTCCGACCGGCGCGGACTTTGGGTTACTTTTGAGGGAGGATATCCGGGGCTTCACCTCCCATACGCAAAGGCGCGTTCGCGCCCGCCATAGGCCGCCTCCTCATCTCTCGAATAAGCGTATGCCCCGGGACCCGTAAGCTCCTGCCGCGCCTGCCCGACGCGCGACCCGTAGGCATATGTCGGGGACGTGAGCGTGGGCGACAGCTCCATGTCGTCCTTCGTCTCCCGGAAGTCAATCTCGTCAACATCCGAGGACACGGACACCTCCTGGTGCACGCCGATCTCCAGGTTCTGCGCCGGCTGAGTGAGATCCGAAGAGGAACGAGGCCACTTACATGGCCGGTTGTGCCCGAGCCCGACTTGCTTCGCCCGAGCCCGAAGCCCGGGCCATAGGCGTTGACCGACCCGTTCCCACCGGTCACCATCGACTGGCCCAGACCGGTCATGCTGAAGCGCGAGCGCGGGCCGGTGCTGATTGGCGCCCGGCCTGCAGTCGCACCGCTCGGTCCGGTGTGCCCGTCCGAGCGCCCATCTGAGCGCTCAGTGCCTTTGCCGCGAATGATTCGTCGCGTGTTGAGTGTACAAAAGAACGAGATCGCGTATACTGAATCCATTAACTGCCATGCCACAAGATAAACGTCAAAGACACCCACCTTTACACAGTATGAAATAAAAGGCTAGGAACTTGAAGGTTGTAGGGTACAGATCATACTTCAGAAACATCAGTAGATATAGTCATAGGCAAGGAGTGAACGCACAAAAACCAGAGTACAGATACTAACCGCGGCCGTGATTGCGCCGGTGTTAACGGCGTAAACAGTCAGACTCTTAACCAAAGTGTCTGCACTAGGGGGGATCAGGTTGCATTTGGGCAGTTTCATTGCTAAGACATACCGCTTGGACCCGGTTCGATACTTGCGCAGGAAGAACGCGAGGGAGCATGCAATCACGACGTCCGTAAATGCCGCGAAGCCCAGGGCGAGGGACGCGGTGAGCTTGAGCTTCGGAAGCACCGTGAGGAATGGATTCTGGAACCTAAACAGCCAAACGCAATAAGCAACACGGTCGGAGGACCCGCGAAATTAAGAGCACACGCACACTTTGACGGTATAGACTGCGGGGGGAAAACGGATCAGTTGCAATGCCACGAATAAAGACGATAGATGAAAGCCCGAGCCATCTCGGTGATGTGAACGGGGAGAACGGGCAATCCGACTTACCGATAGCAAGCGCTTTAGATGGAAACCATGAGGACAGTGCGCGCGGGAGCGAGAATAGCACTTACCCATCTCGGCGATCGTCAACAGGATGAGCATGGCTGTGACAGGGATGTTTCGCTGGCTGACTATACGTGGGCTTGCGTGAGAGCAGCAACGGGGAAAGCGAGGAAGAGCATACAGCGCCAGACTCGCATAGCAAAGCACCTGGTGAAGACGGGAGATTAACGGAGCGAATGACGGCAAGCGGAACGGCGACGGACAAGCGCACTATCGTTCCAACGACAGCCTGAATGGAGGGATTGGGTTAACGATCTGCAGTCCAGATCCTACAGGCTGGACGAAGGACGCACCCCGACAGTAAGTTGAACGATCAGTGTCCAGGCGACGTGGTCCATAAGGATGAGGGGATTAGCGTAGTTGCTGCAGCAAAGGGTCAGCTCAGCTCCAACGACCCCGATGGCGACGCACGTAATTGTGTAAAAATATACTGCGTGTCCTATAAATGCTTGGTCTATCACCGCGAGGACCCACACCAGAACCACGAGCAGCTTGTACGCGGGTCGGTCGCCCGGGTAGCGCGAAAAGTATGTCACCGCCTGGTTGGTGCAGATGCCCAGCGCGAGACAGGACAGCGCGAAGCCAATGAAAGCCGCGCCGAAGAGGTTGTCCAGTGTTACACCGGGGGGAAAGAAGGCTGAAGCGAATGACATCGCGTGCGGGTGAAGCGTCGCCGCTGGACGGGCGGGATGGGGGCGGAAGGAGCGGAAGAAAGATGAAGGTGGTCGTCGGGAGAAAGAGATTGGAGCGTGACTGAGCACGCGAGAGACCGAGCGAGAAAAAAGAGGCTATGCCCAAATGAAGGAAGGTCAAAAGAGGGCAAAATGCATCCGTCTCGGCGTGGCTGGGCGGTGTGTACCTGTGGGACGGATGGTATTGGGAATAGAATATTGTGTCAGCGGTGGTGTTGTGTCATGATCGCAAAAAAAGTGAGAATCAACTGCAGAATCGCGTGGGTCATGAGTTTGGAGGGTGTTTTCTCTGTGGAAGCCCGAGACACCGCTGATCCTGCGCAGCAGCTCAGTCCAGCCGCAAAAAAGGAGAACACAAACAAGCTACGCGGAGGCTTTCGATGCGAGCGTCCGGGCCCCGTCGCACCAGTATCAGCGCCGTATCCTGCTTCTCATTACGCCGTGCACGGCGAAGTACTGGGTTTGTGGAAGAGTGGTGTTGCGCGTGGGAACTCAGCGCCGCGCCGAGAAATTCCAGAATGTCAAGGAAGCTGATGGTGATGATTATGCCGCGCCACCGCCACCACAGCGGGACTGTGTACGCGTATGTGGCGTTAGGCTTGGTAAATCACATCCAGACGAAGCCTACGGTCGCCCACTGGCTCTTCGATTCCAACCCCCGCACCACGGAAAGATTCCACAGGATCCACACCGGCCATACCCGGCGAAACGCTAACCGAGTCTAGGGCCCGATATCTCCGACAGGCAAGATGTCAATTGTCGTCAAGGCCCTAAATTGATTTACCTCCCACGTTTTGCGCAACGGCCGCTCTCGGTGCCTGAAGGGAGAAGAATACCCCGAAGATGAGTTGCGATGCAACCACTAAGTTCGCATATTCATGGCTTATTAGGCTGCAGCGCAACTGCAGCATTGCTAGAGCGCCCCGCCCAATCGATTGGCAGTCTTCTCACAGCTTCTCACTTGATTCTGGTGGAAATCGGAAGCATCGGCTTGCCGACGACGCAAGAATGGAGGCATATGATAGCGGGGCCGGAGAACGCCGCAAATGCGGGGCCATAATTGACATCCAACGCGCCAATCTCTCCTACGTCCTAACATGACATGCTTCTGCAAGTTATGGATTCGTGTTGGAAATTAGTCATCATATTACCTATTTAGGTCATCCATGTGATACAAAATCTCCATTGTGCTACTGTGCACTGCAATGACGATAGATTCAGCTGAAAATTTATAGGTGGCTAGATATGCAGGATACCTTAAAATGTCCCAAGTTTAGCATTTTTTCATGCCACAATTATCAAGAGCTGGGTTCTCCAGATAAAAATACAGATCTATGCAGGGATAGTTCATTGGATATTACTGCTACTATTTGTGCATATACAAAAGATCTATGGACTGGTCCAAAGGCACAAGGGGGGTTCAAGATTCAAATCTTAGATATAGGGTTGGATTTCTTTTTTTCCAACCCTTCAGGACCCCCCCTCCCTTACTATATCGGGTAATGTATTCCCACGATAAGATAAGATCTTGCATCATGTGACCAATGATGGGATCAAAAGAGGTGCAGAACTTGTCTTTTTGGACAAACTTCACATGAATACATATATATACAGTCGAAGTCTACATAACCCATAGACATCACAACCCATAATTCCTTCTAACCCATAGGATTTAGTGGTCCCCCAACTATGTTCTATGGTAGAAAACCCATATTCCCTGTACCCCATAATACATAAGATTTTGTCGAGTTATAACCCATATCCGAGATCACTGAGAGCCATCACGACTGCAAAAAAAATTATTAGCTACTAAGCGCTAAGCTACCATGGCAGGCTTCAGCCTTGCTAGTGTAAAACGTGGTCTCCGAAGGCTCCTCGCAAAGACCAAGACACGCCAGGAGGAGCTTCTTGCCCGTCTTCACCGCAGAGAAACAATTACAGATGCAGACAAAGAATGGCTTAATGATGGTGCAAACCATGTTGACGAGACGGTTGTCATTGACCAATTAGATGACTCCTCCGATTTTGAGCGTGGGCTTTCGAGACTGGACGAGGCAAAGACAAGAATGGTGGAGGAGTTGGCCAGGCTAGGAGAGCTGGAAAGTGGGGCTGAAGCAGATGCTGAAGAAGCGAGAGAGAAAATGAACCAACAGCTAAGAAGTCTCTCAAAAGTGAGTGTCCAAGGATGTCTTGCTCTGTTCTGACTTCATGGCCATAGGAAAGCGTGATTACACTGAGCAGGAGAAGGTCACCATGCAGGCGAAGTCAGCAGCAACAAGAGAAAAAAACAAAGCCAGCAAAGGGAAGAAAAAGGGCAATGTGACACTTGAAGAAAAGATCAGGGTTCTCGATTGGAGGAAGGCCAACCCATCGAAGACTCAAAAGCAGGTCGCAGAGCATTGGAATGAGGAACTTCAGCATGTCACCATCAAGCAACCCTTGGTTTCCGAGTGGATCAAGCAAGAGGCCACACTGCGACAGAGGTGGCAGGAAGCTGTTGAGTCAGGACGTGGAGCAGATGCAAAACATGTCAGGTTGGTGGAGAATCCAGTCGTCGATGAGATGATGGAGCTTTGGGTACACAACTGCATGGCGCACAATGTCCATCTGTCTGGCGAGATTCTACGCCAGAAATGGACGAAATTTGCCGACCTCTGCAAGGTTCCGATGGAAGACCGCGTCAAACTTAGCGATGGATGGTTGCGGGGCTTCAAGAAACGGTGTGGGTTAAAGGAATTCAAGCGTCATGGCGAAGCTGGCTCGGTGGATCCTGCAAAGGTGACCATGGAGCAGGAGATGATTTACAAGATCGCACGAGCATATCGACGCAAGGACATCTTTAATATGGACGAGACAGGCTTGTTCTGGGCGTGTGTAATTTCCTGACATTCAATCTCAAAACTGACAGATACAGGATGCCTCCGGATCGTCGCCTCATGACGAAGAAGACCTCTGGTGTCAAAGGAAGCAAGAAACGGCTCACCTATGCATTCACAGCCAACGCTGATGGTTCCGAAACACTCGAGCCATTCATTATCGGTAAAGCAGAACATCCGCGCGCATTCAAGAAGAAGACAGCACGAGAGCTCGGTTTCTATTATCGGAACAACGCAGCATCTTGGATGGTGGGCCCACTACATAAGAAATGGCTGCGTGATTGGGATAAGCGACTACGGAGAGAAAACCGCAAGATTTTGCTCCTGCAAGATAATTTCAAAGGCCACAAGTACCCGAAACATCTTACAAACATCCGTGTCATCCCCTTCGAGCCCAATCTCACATCTCACGTTCAGCCGCTTGACGCTGGGATCATTCGGTGCTTCAAAGCCAACTACCGTCGACTGTTTATGCAACGTGCCCTCGAACGTTTTGATTCCGGCGTTACTGCAGCCCAAATCTACCACATCGACCAACTGGCAGCCATGCGGCTTGCAGACAAAGCATGGCGGCAAGTCAGTGGAGACACAATCAAAAACTGTTGGCGCAAATCCGGCATTCCTGGCGCAGAACGCTATGCTCGCAATGCAAGCATGGACTCCCTTTCCGAACCTCCGAGTTCCTCAGACGAAAGCGCCAATGGCAACATTGCCACGGCTGCTCGTAGTCAGTCACGGGTTCCAGCAGATGGTGATGGAGACAATGACCCTGTTGCCGAGCTGGAAGACATCCTGGATGAGCTGGAGCGGCGTGGAGCCTTGCATAAAAACAATCGACTGGCAACAACGGAGCTCATCGACATCTCAGAGGAGAATGAGATGATGTCTGAGGAGCTGACTGACGAGCAGATCAAGGCTGCTGTCGAGGCAAGGAAAGCTGACGGTGGACACAATGACGACGACGATGAAGATAAAAGAGATTCCTGACCCGCCTACATACGGGGAAGTTCACGAGGCAACTGCACTCCTTCGGCATTTCCTCGCAGATCGGGATGACATCTATGCACGACAGCTGGAGGCTAATCTGTCACGTTTAACACGCGATACACGTCGTGAACAGGTCAAAATCCAGTTTCCCACTTTGATTACAGACTACTTTACGGGTTAAGCATAGCTACACCCTCAAAATCAATATATTTCTGAAATTTTCCTTTTGGGGAATTTATTCCCACCCTCCTCCAAACCCATACGTCCCACTAACCCATACCATCCTATGTCTACCGACCCTTATGGGTTATGTAGACTTCGACTGTATATCTGTTTATAAACTCACTTTCAGCTGTGTAACAATATGGATAAGCCATGATTGAGCTAAGAATGGTCACCTACTATCAATGACTGGATGACAACAATGTGACAAGATGTCACCCTGCACCTATCTAAGCCCAAGAATCTTGAATTATTCATATATGGGGGCATAACTTGAGCAATAAGGTAATGTACAGTGAGTGTTATATATTTTTAATGGATATGGACCTATATTTGCTGCAAAGAATCTTTATACAAAAAGTTTTTTTTGCTACCCCTAGGGACCCCCACCCTATGTGCCTGATAAGGATCTTGAACCCCCCTTGCAAAGGCAAATAAAACTTGGGAAAAGGTGAATTTTATTTCTTTGATCTTATCCTGGTGTTAATTATAGCTGGAGGGGTGAAGACACTCCAGCTTTAGGGGTGTGTATTGTTACTTCTCCTGTTTAACATATATGTATAGAAAATATGGGGGTGTCCATTTGTTTGTGTAAGTTGACAATCACTGGGAACACGTCACGGCGGGCTTGCCGTGATGTGACACTGACAATCAGTAACAAAAATAAACCTTTTTTGCATTCAGTATCTGCGTCAGTCACGAGAACCGGGGCCGGTGAATGCTTACACCCCGGAGAAAAATACTAAAAAGGAAATTTAGCCGACAGTATCTCAGGTGGCGGGTTCAAGCGCCGCAGGCGCCAGAACAGAATTATAGACATTTGGAACAGTAAATTTTCAACATTGTATAGCAGATCTGAGATGTATAGTAGGACATATGCAATCCATAGGTAAGCTCTCTTTTTTCTCTTTTTTCTCTTTCCTTGGTGGGAATTTATTTTTTCTTCTTTTGGCTACCAACAACACCAGTATCTAGCCTGGATTCTTAGCTTCTGCCAGGATCAGTGGAGTGGAAATCACAGGCAAAGTCAGACGAACACTACAAACGCGCTGGAGTTTGGATGATATGAATGGCAAAGGAAAGTAGGAAGTTGTCCAAAAATAACTTTCCCTTGCCTGCAACACCAGCACTAAGCAGTGAACGATCGCTTTTCAAGCTTAAACATAAGTCACCGTAATTATAACAGCAAGGTAGTGGGTCCCTACACAGAACATTTTGAGAAGATACAGACTACTTCCGCCCCGGCGGAAAGCGCACTGCAAACAGCACCACTGCTGCGAACACCGCCAGCCCCGAGTTGCAGAAAAACACCAGGTTTGGCCTGCCCATCGCCGACAGGACGGCAAAAAGCTGGCCAAATATCGCCACCGTCGAGATCCACGAGAATGTCTACAAGCACCGTTACACCGCCTGTCTTAAGAAAGGGGGAGGACCGTACCTCGATGATGGAAATGCCCGCGAGCGCGTCTGCCCGCCTGGCAGCAGCACGAGCCTTCGCTGTCCCTTCGTCAAGGGCCTCCGCATCCGACGCGGAGTCGGTCGGTAACATGTCCATCAGCACGCCTTTACACGCGGGGGCGGTCCCGCTTGCAAGGGGGAGAACCACGGCGGCGAGGTTGATGTGCCATGCGCGGGACGTCAACGCGACAAGCGCGGTCAGCACCGCATCCACAACCATCCTAAATGAATTCAAGAAAACAAGGACAACACGGAACTGACACGTACGACCACTGGAGGAAGACCAGGTCGAATCTGCTGCCATGTATCTGGTCTGTCGGGCCTGGCGCGACATGCGCCGCGGCATCGTCTACAAGTGGTGCATCCCCGCCCTCCAAAGTAGCGGGTATAGCCATCTCTGGCTCGTTCAGCGGAGCAACAGGTGAGGGCGGTGTTTTGGTGTCGTTGGTCGAGGAATACCATTTTCGACCACTACTGATTATTTTGGGAAATGCGAACGTGAGGAACAAGGCGCGGGAGAGAGACAGCGAGGCCATGCTGCTAGTGCATTAGAACCGGCAGAAACAAAAGAAGAAAGAACGGGAACACACAGGTAGCCGTTCTCTGCGGTCCCATAGTCGTAGCGGTTTGTGGCAGTCAGCTGGAGCATGAGCGGCTGAAAAAGGTCAGACGGGAGGTTAGATATTGTGGGGACTTACGACGTAAGATGTCGCCAATGCACCGGCAAATGTGCCAAACGCAAGTAGCGTGAGGCCGTAGTACCACTTCTTCGTGCCCGTTGGCGTGAAATAGGCCACGGGACGGAAAACGAGCAGTGCAGAGAACGAGGATAGAATCCCCTTAGACGGCGTCTTTGCATCCGACTGTGTGGTCGGCGCCACATATGGGAGCATTAGGCGGGTGAATACTGTGCTTCCAACGAGGAGGCAGAATGTGATCTGGAATGGGGCCGTTATGTTGATGAGGGAGCCAGCAAGCCCACCCCCAATGAAGCCTTTGGTCTATCAGTCATGATACAGAACGAGAACTGGTAATGACACACCGATGGCCGTTCCCAGCATGTTCATACCCGCCAATACCCCGAACGCTGCTGTGCGCCCCTCTGCCTCGACGACCTCCGTGATATACGAGTTGACCGCGAGGTTGTACCCCAGTCCCCCACCAAGTATCGTGATCATCTGTGTTGTCTGGATTATGGTTATCGCCGTCCTCCCCCCGACAAACGCTGGTCAGGAGTGAGTGATACTGCGCTGACAGCAACATGGACATACTCGCATATATCTGGCAGAGGTTTCTGAATGCGGGCCAGAGCGTCTGCTGGATGAGTGCTGACCGGAGCCCCCAATGCCGGATTTGCCACGTCGTCAAAAGCAGATTGAGGGTTCCACTAATCTGTACGAGGTCACTTTGAAATCTGCGGTGACGGCAAGATAGCTGACCGAGGTAAATAGCCCCATGATACCGATATCGCTGGATGTTGTCGCCTCAATAGCAGGCAAGGCACAGGCGTCACCGGTTCCTTCGTACGGCGGGTGTGACGGGTCGGCGTAGTACTCTTGGCAGCTGAAGACACGGAATACATAGATGACCGGCGTGGAGGTCTATGTACCAGTTAGCCGCGGGTACTTGTGCACAAACACGCACAGCGGACTTACAAACCAAAATGTCGTCGAGAGCAAGAGCGTCGCGAGCAGGATGCGGTGGTAAGCGCTGAACCAGTCGCGGGGCTTCGCTGTCGGCGCCACAAGCAGCGGCGTCGCCTCTGTCGCGCTGCTCATCGCTGTCGTGCAGCAAGGGTTGTCGCGATGTGCCAGCAGCTTTTTTTGACTCGGAGATGACGTGATCGTTCTCCGGCAGATCCGGTGACGGATGCCCATTGCGATGGTCCTCATCATCAGCCATGGGACTCTGTGGCGAAACAGTTGTTGTTACTAGTATTGCAAGGCAAATAGCTCAACACTGAGAGTGTTTTATCGGATTTTATCGACGTTCATACCACAAGTCAAATTAAAGTCTAATAAGTAGATCTTAATTCTTGACACGTGTTTTCAAGATTCAAAAAAGACTAAAAGAAAATGCCTGTTTATGTAGATAATTGCAAGCAATGGGAGGACGGGTCATGGAATACAGTTCCACAATGTTTACTCTGTCCAGATTCAACTTTTCACAGCCAATGGGTTGATCCGATGCGTTACCCCGACGTGACCCTCTCTTTAAGTTTTCTCACGTCATGTACCGCATACATCCCTCCAGGCCGCTTGAAGTGCCTGTCAAGCTGCTGCATGATGTTTCTTCTTCCCTCCACTGCGCCGCGTTCGGTGTCTTCGAACGTGTGCAACGATCTCAACGACTGCCGACGGCTCTTTGACATCGTCTGGGGCTGCCTGATAACGATCTTCCTCTGCATATGGGTCTCAGTCCACCCCAATGTGCCCCCACCCTCCCTACACCATCCAGAGAAGGACACAAGCCTTTGGTCCCGCACTCGGTGGCGTCTATTCGACGCAAGTGAGCCTTTAGTGCGACGGATGAAGCTTATGGCTGTCGCGCTCATCGCCCCGGAGCTCATCATTGGTTTTGCGAGCAGGCAACTCCTTATGGCGCGGAGATTCTCTCGAAGTGTGTATTCCCATTCCGGTTCCACAACTCGACTGACAGGGATGCCACACAGTGAACGGTGTATCGCTGGCGCACGGCTTCTTTTTCGTCATGGGCGGCTTCGTTGACGTCGATGGCCATCCAATTGTGACGGAGAACCAGCTCAATCTGCCTGGAGTGCTGGAAGCAATTTGTGCTGTCCCAGAGTCCGCCATCAGGGACAAAAGCAAGGGTGACATATTCTCCAAGGGTATTGCCTTTTGCCAGGGGCTGTGGTTCATCGTGCAGTGTCTTGCCCGCGGCGTACAACACCTGCCACTTACGGAGCTCGAGGTCGCGACGCTTGCGTTCGCCACGATCAATGCACTGACGTGGCTACTGTGGGTAGACAAGCCGCTCGATGTGCAAGACCCTCTCACTATCCAACTACGGACTTCTCCAGAAGCCGACTCAGACTCAATGTTTAGTCCCAATCCTCAAGCCCCCGCGCGCCATGTCTACCCCGCTTCTATCCCTTGGCAAAAACGATTTGAGGCGCCCATCTCGAACATCTATCAGGTTCCCAGTCACTACAATCCGCTTACCAACACATTCGTGCCTACGTTCTGGTGCGCAGACCCCAGAGACAGTGGCACGCAGAGCCTGAACACAGCATGGAGCCTGACATTTGTCGGGCAGCTTCTCTGTGGCGCTGTCTTCGGCGCAATCCACTGCGCCTCGTGGTCAACAACCTTTCCATCCGTTGCCGAGATGTGGTTATGGCGCGCCTCCACAATCATCATCATCGCAATGCCGCTCGCGCTATTGCTTGTCACCGTCGGCGCAAATGTGATCGAGGTCTTGCCAGACAGTGCAGCCAATGTGTTGCTCCTGATCATTAGTATGCTCTATTGCATTGCGCGGGGATTACTTTTAGGGTTACCACTATCAACCTTGCGAGAATTACCGGCGGGGGCTTTTTGCGGATATCAACTGGAGTTTATATATTCCGCATCTGTAGTGAAAATGAAATAAAAGAGGGAGCGTCAGAGGTGGAACGTGCAAGGAGGGCAGAGGAGAAGGGAAGTTGAAGGAAGGCAACGTGAAGACAGAGAGGAAAAAGGGGCTAACCCGGGATCGAACCGGGGGCCTCCTGCAGATGATGTGCCCAAAGCAGGAATCATACCTCTAGACCATTAGCCGACCAAAAGTAAGAAGTCCTAGGCATGATACCGAGTGACGCGATGCTTTCATGATGCGAATAAAGAACACAGATATGGAACAAAGAAACAAAGTCATAATATCACAGATCTGGACACCAAATACAATTCAGGCAAAAGATGTTCCTGTGCAATATGCTATTTAGACATAATTGTTGACCAGTGTGTTTCAGATCAGACTTTGGAGTTTGGCCCATGCAAACTAAGGAGTTATTGTATACTAATTTTATGTAGAATAAAGTGTATTTTTTACTTAATACATGGAACAAATGACTGATACCTATATGACTACTAGATGGATAATCCTGATCTCAGTTCATCCTTGTAGGCAATATGCATATGGATATAGATGATTCTATTGATTTATAGCCTCACAGTCTCAGCAGACAATACTGAACTACAGGGGCTCTAATGTATCCTATCAAAAGCTGGAGGGCAGATATAAATAACAACCGCCCTTGAGGATCTGTCTCTACATCTCTAAGTAGCAGAACTATAGATATACTAGATTGAGCATGAACAACACTGATTACAACATTACACAGCATCTGGTATAGCTATCGCATCAGTTGAAGCTGTGTAAAGGTTGCTGTGAAGTTCCTTAACAGCCTATACCAATTTCTTAGATTATGCTCAAAATTTGTTTTAGCCAGTGTTATGTTCCTTTTAATACTAGTATCTCAACCCTACCTTCACTGGGCTGTTTCCAGAATTTTTCCCTGTGAAAAGTTAGGTAAAAAATTAGAAATTTTTGAATAAATTTTTTACAAGTCAAAATTTGAACTTTTTTTTTTGCCAACTTTTGCCCGAAAAATGTCAGAACAAAAACTTGAAGTTTTTTTTACCTAATTATTACTAAGAAAAATGTCTAACTATATACAGAGAAAAAACTAGGATAAAAATTTCGAGTTTTTGCAGCTAGTTTTTACCAAGAAAAAATTGAAAAAAAAAATTCAAGGTTTTTTTCAAGATTTTTGCTAGGGGAATGTTTCGAATTTTTGCTTGGGAAAAAATTGTTGCACAAATGATCAGTTTTGTCCTTAATTTTTTACAGGCAAAAACTCTAAGTTTTTTCCTGGAAAAAAACAAGGAGAAAGATTAGAAGTTTTTCTTCTCATTTTTTCTGAGCAAAAACTCAATCAAAAACTTAAAGTTTTTTCCTGGAAAAAAACAAGAAGAAAAATTAGAAGTTTTTCTTCTCATTTTTTCTGAACAAAAACTCAATCAAAAACTTGAAGTTTTTTCTTAGATTTTTTTTCAGATTTTTTCCAGGAAAAAATTAGTCTGCTGATGATCGTCCGATGAGTGGCAGGTGAGCGACAGGTGAGCGGCAGGTGAGTGGTAGATGAGCTGCGGCAATCCTGCCTGATCATGTGGATGACGACTTGCCTTCTCCTCGTCCAACCTTTCATTCAGATCTTCTATATATCACCATATATTATATGTAGATTAGGTACATGAATAATTTCTAAAGAATTCAGCCAGCATGCACGAAACATAGATGACGATGAGAGCGGGGGAGTTGGTGAGCTGTGGATTGTACGAATGGCCATAGTAATCAGCGCATAGATAGTGGAAAGCTCATCAAACTCTTCCTCTTCTTCCTCCCCCACCAGCAGTTCCGTCAGGTGTCGTATGCTGCGGAGGCTTTCTGGTCTTGCCACCGCTCTGGGATGTCATACAATCCACAGCTCACCAACTCACCAGCTTTCCACTATCTATGCGCTGATTACTATGGCCATTGTCATTTTGGAAACAAAACAAGAAAGCCTTGAAAATCCTTCACCACAACAACGTTTGGCCGCATATAATCCTCTCAACCATGATGGACGTCGACACAGCAAGCACTCCTCCCCCTTCTGCACGTCAGAACCACCTGTACCCTGCCTTCTCCGCCGACCAACCACTGATCTCTGAGGTGTCAATGTTTTACGAGAATCTGCTCCCTCCTGCCCCTCAATCTTCGCGCCCCAACAACACATCCCAGCTTTCTAATCAACTTGGGCAGCACACTCCATTGGGGTCGTAAAATCCCTTCTTTGCGTTTACTGTGCCACCGTCCCAAACGCTGGCCACTAAACTGCTGGTAAATGCGCCGCTGAACACTAATCCATTCACCGAACAGCTTGTCCAGTTGGACAACAGCTTGAATCCTCCAGTCGGCGGTGTTCGAAGCGCGAAAAGAAGTCGAATCGAAGAGTCGGAGACGCCCAAGATTCGGGCCAACGTTCCCTGTTCCAAGGTTGCTTTCTCGTTGCTATTCAAGCTCGCTCAGCTTAATGTCCACAGGAACTAAATGCGGGCCTCAAGCATAGCGAGTACACAAAAACCCACCAGTCCATACTTCGTCAACAGGCTGCGGAGTATCGTGGCAAGGCCGAGGTATTAGCCAGTGAGGTTGTCAGGGGAACCCCTGCTTCAGCCCTCCTTCGGACCGTCCGAGCGCATCCGAGGCATATCCGACCGGCGCCCCCTCGGACGCTCCGACCCACCCCAACCATCGTCCACGGCCTCCTTCGCCCGCACAATCACCGATCCGTCAAGACCCTCCCAACGATCACCTTGGGACAGAGCCTGCCACACCGCTTAGGCCTTTTGCGCTCTACGTCGGCAGTTACGGACAACCAGTATATAGTTGGCGCCCTAGCAGGCGGACCCTTAGAGTTTCTTCTCTTTGGATCCTCCCCTGCTAGGTCGGTCCCTCCGTGTATTTCCGTAGCTTTTATTCACGCTTTGGATCCTCCCCTGCTAGGCTTTCGTCGGAGTCTCCAGGGTTGCCCTTACAGAGGTCTCCCACCTTCAGGGTGTCAATGCTACACAAAATACTCATCTGCTAGAAATGAGGCATTTGGGACTCTTAAGGGGCAGCACGAAGCGCAGGAGGCCTAATGGGAGGAAACTGTAAGTGTTTGTCATTCTCACGTATGTAATTTCTAACCAATTGTAGTTCGAGTGACATGAGCTGGAGATGAATGAGCTCACAGTGAAACTGACTGCTGATGCCGATGCAAAGTTGGCTATGCAAGCAAAAATTATGGAGGAAAAGCAAGCAGCAGCGAAAAAGAGTAGAGAAGAAGAGCAAGCTGCCAAGAAAAAAAGCAGAAAAAAAGAGCGAGACAATGCACAGGTGAGTGATAAGTGGTTTTTGTTCTCTCTCTTTAACCCAGTTCCAGATGGAGAGAGAAACTGAACTCATCAAGCTCCTTGCTCAAACGGGCGCAAGCTAATGCAACTCGGAAACCTGGCTTCCATCGTGGAACTCGTGATAGTCTCCAACATTTCAAGAACCCCACCACCCCTTTCGTGAAGCTTCCATTTGTGTCCAACAACAACAACTTGAATTCCAGTCCCAAGTCAAGTGAGGATGAAGGGGAAACTCCTGTATGCAAGCTTGCCGAGACTACTGCACCAACCTTCGCAAGCGCATTTGAGTGCGAGGTGGATATCGAACAGTTAACCAAAGTCATGGCACTGGGGGCAAATCCCATGGCATGCCAGCCATGGCATGCTACATGGTGGTGTGATGGCAGCTCTGGTGTCAAACCCTGGGTTCAAAAACCCTTTTTCTTCGCCCTTTAAACCTTTTATTTTGGCCCTGGTTGATAAGATAAGACAAGGAGGAGATAAGATGGACGATAAGATGGTGATTGGATCATCAGATGTCGATGCTGATGTTGATTGACAGCGTGGAGTTGGACATGAGGCAAACAGCACGTAAAGGCATGGCTAAAGTATGACGTCATTGCCTCTCGTATTAGGCATGGTAAACACATGGTAGTAGTGTATATAAGTAGAGTAGATTTCGTCTTGTACCCCAGTCTTCGAATTGCATCATCTTTACGATATCTTTTCACGGTGCTTCTTGCTTGCCTTCACTGGCCAACTGGCATCCTCTGAATTGGTGTTGTTTGTGACATAATTCGAAGACTACCCTCCTACCCTCGTACCTTCCTACCTCCTACCACCTACCCAAACCCCTCCCCCTACCCCGTTACTATCGCCAAATTTCCCACACCTTTTTCCCACGCCCTCTCCCCTTCTGCTCTAGGTCGTTGCTCTAGGTCCTTTTGCTCTAGGTTCTTTTCTTCTTGGCTAGGTACACTCGGAGACGACAATCCAAGGGACCCACCTCGAGAGGACACGCGCCGTACTTGCAAGAGAGACGTCTGGCCCAACCCAGGTGCTTTCGTAGAGTCATAGCTGCTACAAGGAGCGCAGGGGCAATCTTCGGAGAACCCTAGTTCGTCCAGCGGGGTGTGTCGTAGAAGGCCCCGGTGGATTCCTCTCACGCAACAGGTCTCTTGGACCCCCGACAACGGACTCTCCGGTCCATCCTCTGTGGCGCCCGCGCTTTGATCCCTGACCTCTCGTCAGGGGCTCCTTCTGAGGAGTCTTCAAGAAATTCTACACCCCGCTCTCTCTCCCCTATCCCCTCTCCATTCAACCACTTTTACCTTGACTCTCTTCCTCCTTCCCCAATCTCCGCTCTGGCTACTCTTGCCATTGCTCCTACCCCCGCAACTGTACCCCAACCCACACCTGCACCCGCACCCCAACCACCAACCAACATGTCTCGCGTCGTACTTGCGAACCCCCCTCCTCTCTTCTCTGGCGAGAAATCGCTTTGGGAAAATTTCTACGATTCCGTCACAACTTATATTGCGGCTTACGCTGATGCGCTCGATACGGATCATAAACGAATTTGGTTCTTGATCTCGTACCTTCGATCTGCAGATGCTTCCGCATGTACAGCAGCTGACTGGGTGCGCAATTGGAAAAAGCGAACCCTTAAGAATGGTGTGCTTGCGGCCACCT